CTCTCTGAACAAATGACTATGGATGGCTTTTTGATATGTTAATTTAACTAAACTACTGCTCCCAGGTATTCAAACAGTAATCTAGATGCTCTTGTAAAGAAATTATGCTGATGTAATAATTAAAGTTGCAGTTGACTTAAGTAATTGACTTACTTTGACTCTAAGTAAGTTGACTTTAAGTAATTTCAAGTTACTTTAGTAACTTGACTTTAAGTAATTATTCTGGATGGACCTGACTTAATTGGTTGGGAGGCCTTAAAGTCAGAATTAACATCAATCTTTCCTGAGAGACAAGACAAATTCTGCCTGTGGACAACAATTTCATGCCTGTGGAGGTACAGTCTATTGATGATCTTCCCTTTCTGTTGGCCTACCTTATAAACTTTAGACTTCCTAAGCCAGTTCCAGAATCATAAAAGCCAGTTTTCTAACAAATTTTCTCTCTTACAATATGTAATATATAATATGCAATATATAGTATATAATATATTATATATATGTACATATATAATTCATTGCTTCTCTGGTTGAAGTCTGAATATGTTAACATTGAAGCAAAATCCTCAGTGGGGAAATGAATAATTTTAAGTTCTTCAGTCAGAATATTTTAGGCAGTGGGGTAAGAAAGACCTTGAGGCAGAAATGAGAGTTTGAGGAAAATGAAAAACCCTGTGTTTTTAATGTGAGTGCACGGATCAGAATGTTGTATATTGTGGATACAGATAAATATAACGATGAGATCTTGTGGGGTTTTGTGGATATGGGGAAAAGGTAAGGTACTTTTTATTTGAGTATAAGGAGGGTTTGGGCCATTGGAGGGTTTTGAGCAGTGAACTGATGTGCTCAAATTAATATTGTAAATAGCTGCTGTTGTATGAAAAATAAGTCCTGGGGTATCATGATCATCAGGATGGAGACCTGGCCAGAAGCTGTCACATTGAGGTCTTTGCATTGGGTGGTGGAGGTTAGGCTAGAGTGGTGTCAGAGGAAGTGGCAAAAGTGAATGCTTGGGGATATAGTTTAGTGACAGAGCTTGCAGTGCTCATTGTTGGATTCAGATGTGGAGGGTAAGTGAGAACAAGGAATTGAGGACTAAAATAACTTTGAGAAGCTGCATAGACTTATGCTTTACTGAGAAGAAGAAGATTGAGGAGGGGCAAATAGGTTAGACATACTGGAATCCAGGATAGAAGTTGAGGAGTGCATCTCTGTGACTAGAGAAACATCAGAATCTGTGGTTACAGATGCAGGTAGATTGGAAAGTGGTTTAGGAAGAATATATAAGTTCTCTTCCCATTGCTTCTATGTTTCTATGAAATAAAAAAGGAAAAACATTCTCTGTTGCAGTGATAGCCATAATGTGGGTTAAAACAGCAGAAAGTAGCCATTTGAGAAAGCTTCAGAGGAAAAGTTTGCTCAGGTAAAGGGCTTGGTTTCTTATGCAGGTAGTGGAAACAATATTGACGCCACAGAGGTAGGCTGAGGGGGTAGGTGTACAAAGATTTCACGAAGTTCTGTCTCTTAAATCTTCAAGTGGACAGTATTATAGCCAGTGCTGTCCCTGCAAGAACTGTGAAAGGTAGGGAGCTTCTCACTCAGCACTGTGAACATTTTCTGTCAGCATCTTCCTGTGTTCTTTTCAACAGATCTGGAGGGAATTTGTATAATTAACATTATGTAAGGTCCTCATACATAAAGGCCAAGGGAACATTTGTATTAAGGATGATTTTACTCCATGGGTAGGCTGGGTCTCCTGACCCTTTGATTTACTCTAGTTCTGCCATTGTCCTGTCCATTACCATTGTGGCCATCTATATGCACAGGTGTGTGAGCTCTGATTGCGAGCATAGTTTAACTTTCCAAGGGGCTTCCTATGCCAATTAGGAGATAGAGCTCAGCCCCTATTTATGTGTCATAGAACATTCTATTATATTGAAGGTGGCCTTGTTTGCTGCATATGGAAGACCTCTATGGACATTGGGATTGGCCCAGCCAGTATATACTTTTTATTGATTAATAAACACGTTTTGAGTCCCTATTATAAGCCAGGCTCTGAGGATATAGCAGTGAAGAAGACAAGCCAGATACATAGTTTCCTGCCAATTGTGAACTAAGAGAGGGGGCAGGTACTAAACAAGTAGAGGTGTGGTATGCTCATTGAAGGAGTATAACAGAGCATCATAGGAGGATATGTGATGGGGGGTCGGGAAAGTGATGAGTAAGTTCTGTGTAGGCTGTGGCAGATGAAACAATGTGCACTAATTAAAGATTGAACTATATTCAGAAAGCTTTTTTTTCCACAAGTCGTACAAAGGAATCTTTATTCCTGCCGCTAGAGCTGGTAGTGGAGTCACCTTCTCTTGCTGGCCCTATAACCATAATCACATGAATGTTGGATACCATTGTCATCAAAGTGGTGAAAGCTGCTGTAATGCAGCACCCTGCAAGCTCCAAAACGGTGCTATACCTCCAAGAAACTTCAATGAAAGGAGACTGCTATAGCAAAGATAGAGGTACTTCAACTGCAACTGCTACCATCTACACTTAAGTCAGTCATCAGACTCTGATGCCACCACAATTGATGTCACTGGCATCCCCTGTTGGATAGAGTTGTCTAAGGCATGGCCAATGCCATACCACTGCACTGAAGAGAATCCATTTTTCCTGTCTCTGTATTCTTTTCAGATTTTTTGATTCTTTGCTCTTTCATCCCACAGAAAGTGTCATGTGAACTATCCTCTTAAGTTCTTTTTGTTTTTAATTGAAGATTTACATGGGCCCATGAGGATGGGAGTGAGTGCATGGGACGAGTCTGTATAGTGTATGTCATACTGTACTCAGCATTGCCCTTCATTCAACCATAGACTACTATAATTGGACCAAGATTTTGAGACCAACTTTCTTCACTTAGGATTTATTTTAGGCTCAAATAATACTAAGCTCCTATGAGTTGCACAGGAAATACTTGATGTTATAGTTGCCTTGGTACAAAGAAACAAATAACCAACACCATATCAGTGAAGAACAAATTGTTATTCAGTGAAATTGTGCTGTACTGGACACTTTCATTTAAATGTAAGTGAATGTAAGTGACAGATACCATGTAAATACAAAGATTTTAAAAATAGGCAAGTAGCAAAGGTCATACATTCAGGAACATCTTTAGTAGATACTTTTTAAGTAAATGTATCTGAATTTCTTCTTCATAGATTCAGCCTATGAAATGGTGAGTCATTTATGAATTATTTTAAAGAGATTTTTATATACTAATCAACTAAGTTTATCTGACATCAGCATAATTATTATTTAGAAACATTCAGATATGACTGGCTTGTTGAAAATTTTGTCACAGAAATCTGAAATGACAAATTCACTAACTAAAACTATTCATTCCTATGGTTTTGCATATGTCAATGTCATTCTATCACTTCCTCTCTGGAGTAGGAAAATGGATAGTTATTATTTTTGCTCTTCTTAAATATTGTCTCTCATATAACATACTTTATAGACACTTTGTTACTTCTGTGATAGAAAGAATTCTTTCTGGGAAACATTCAAAGATTTGCTTTTATTCTGAACTTTTGTCATAAAAGAAAACTATGTACCAGGGACAGAGAAGATTATTTCTACTCCAAACCTCTATGTTGAGGAAGCCCAGGTCACCATTAAATGGCCTCTACAAACAGGTTCTTGATTAAACTGAAGCAATGGGTAAGCTGGATAATTACTAAGGCTATTGGCTTTTTATCTTAAAAACATATAGGTCTCCAAAATTGTCATGCAGTAGCTCTACAGTTCCTTGGTCTGTTCCTGTGGACCTCTTTCACTGTGCATAGTAAAGGTCCTTTCTGGGTTGTTGGCTAAAATTGGAAGAGCTTCAGAAGATTGTATATGAAACATTTACCGAAATACCAAACATCTAACTGCTACCTTAAATGCTAGCAAGTTTAAGTTCTAAACACTTTATGTTTTTCTTAATAAATTTTCTTTTTTTTTTCTTAAAGAAAGAGAGAGAGAGAGAGAGGCAGTGTGAGCAGGGGAGGGTCAGATAGAGGAAGACACAGAATCTGAACAGGCTCCAGGCTCTGAGCTGTCAGCACAGAGCCCGATGCGGGGCTCAAACCCACGAACCGTGAGATCATGACCTGAGCCGAAGTCAGACACTTAACCGACTGAGCCACCCAGGCACCCCTCTTAATAAATTTTCTATACTAATTATTTTGAATCATTTTCTCAGTTTGTGTGTTTTTCGGCTACTGCAACTGTCTCCTGATGTAATAAATTCGAGATGTTTCACAGCTTGACTTGTGACTCTGTTCTTAAGGTCTTAAAACAATCAGTAAAAACCAAAACCTACATTTTCACATCATCTACAGTGTTTTTGTGTGTGTTAGATAATACATTCAATGCTATTAGGAAAAATGATAATGTGATTCATACAGTGACTGTGCATTAAATATGAGGCATTGATTTTTATCTCTTCAAAATACTTAAAAATAAAAATATAAGACAGCAAATGATAAGTCATAGGTAATTTTATCAAAAGGAAACAGTTGTCTATCTCAATCACAATCAAATTAGCTTGAAGAAGAAGAAACCAAAGAAGTAAAAAGAGGAAGAAAAGGAGGAAAGATTTTGGTATAAGGTTATGGAGATATGTTGTGGACCCTGAAGAAAGACCTATTTCTAATCCCCTCAGGAACTGAATCTAGCTTTTATTGATTCTTTTTTTTCTTCCAATATTTTATTTAAATTCAAGTTAGTGTAGTATTGGTTTCAGGAGTAGAATTTAGTGATTTATCACTTACACATATCATCCAATGCTATTGATTCTTTTTTTACTAAATATAATTATTAATTGCAAAAAATAATTTTTTAAATTTTAATTAAGTTACTAATTTTAAGATTTTGGTTTATTTCATTGTTCTGGTTTTTGAGAGATTATTGTCTCTACTTTTTATTAAATGTTTTCTTATTTTCTTCTTTTTTTCTCAAACCAGGTTTCTGTCCATTCCCATGGAGACTCACAGAGGCTCATTATAGACTTTGAAACCTACCAGCAGATCTCTAAGAAAGAAAGATATGGTGAATCCAGCCTGAATCAGGGCTCATCTCTGGCCCAATCAGTGATGACTAGAGGTGGGTTTCAATCTGTGCAAGTATGACAGGAGGTGGTTTAACTCTGCAGGATGGGAGATAAATTTTCAGAAAAAATATAGACCATGAGTTGATGAAACATCACAAGATCTCTTCTATTAATTGCTTCTATTAATATCAACTTTCAGGGTAAAATAACCAATACCTATTTTAATGACCCTTTGTTAATGATGATTCTAAATGAAACCTCTGTCCAGAGAATGATTTGATCACAAGTGAGGGGTAACCTTTTAAGGAGATCTTCTTGTATCTTAATTTTGACTGTGATTTGGGTGACTCTTGTTTGTTTTTTTTTTTTTTTATGGTAAAATTTGGAAGATTCTGTTGTACCCATTATGTTAGACAGAATTCTAAAGAGAACCAATAAAAAGTAAGATGGGGTGTGGGGAGAGAGAAAGAGTATGCATCATGAGAGAGAGAGGGAGAGAGAAAGAGAGAGAGAGAGAGAGAGAGGAATGAGAGAGATGAATGAGAGGAAGAGATTTTAAGGAATCAGTTCACGTCATTTTGAGAGATGGCAGGTGACAAATCCAAAATCAACAGACAGGGCAAGCTGGCTTGTTGGTGATTCAGGCAAGAGTTGATGTTGCTGTGTTGAGTTCAGTTGGAAAATGAGGGAGAATTTTATGTTGCCATCTGGAGGCAATATTCCTTCTTCTTCAGGAAACCTCAATCTTTTAAGCACTTCTACTTGTAGGATGAAGCCCACCCATATTATGGAGAATAATATACTTTATTAAGTCAACTTCTTGTAAATATTAATCACATTCTAAAAAATACCTTTACAGAAAGATCTAGGTTAGTCGACCAAACAACTGATCATGTTGATCTAACTAAGTTGACACTTAAATTTAACCATGACAGTGATGAGTCCCCTTGATTTTCTACATTAATGCTGAGCTGCTAACTACTTAAAGTTCTCTAAGGAGAGTCTACTTATATTCTTCCTTTATCTTCTTGGGATTGTATTTTATAATCTTTGGGTAATTCAGTCTGTTTGTTTTCATATTGTTATTTAGGAATGACAAACCTGATGGAAACGCACTTCGTATATATTTTTTACAATTACTTTTTAAGATGTCAAGTACCCTATTTCATTGTTTCAAAGTGTTCTCAGATTCTTGCAATAAATGGAATTTATATTAAAGTAATATATGTGACTGGTAAAAAAAGATAAGATGTTTTAGGATTGCAAAAAATTAAATACTTCCTCCTTTCATTGCTACCAGTAGCCACGTCAAAAATGGTGGGGGGGGCATCTCAAACTTCGGGTAGTGTTGAGATCAATTGTGATATAAGTCAAATAAAGGTAAAAATGAGATTGCATGTATTGGTGAAAATTAACTGCAGACTTGGAACTATTGAAAAACTATCGTAGACTCTCTAAGGATATCAACACAAAAGTAAAGCAGAATGAAAAACTAACTGATATATAAAGGGAACTTGGAACAAGGGACATGAGCAGGGGTCACAGATGCATGTTGTTGAAGTCCATTAGGAAATTCAAAAGCTGAGCAGAAACTAGGTTTTACTAGCTGAAGGTAAAATATAATCTCCACTAAATTGTGTTTTTTTTTATGATTCCAATGATTTTTTTTTTACAAATAGTTTATTGTCAAATTAGTTTCCACATAACACTCAGTGCTCATCCCCACAAGTGTCCTCCTCCATGCCCATCCCCCCTCCCCCCACATCCATCAGTCCTCAGTTTTTGTCAGCATTCAAGAGTCTCTCATGGTTTGCCTCTCTCCCTTTCCCCCACCATTTCCACCCTTCTTCTCCCCCTTGTTCCTCAGTTAAGTCCCTCCTAATCCTCCTATACGTACAAACATGTGATATTTGTCCTTCTCTGCCTGACTTATTTCACTCAGCATAACCCCCTCAAGGTCCATCCATGTGGCTTCACATGGCCAGATTTCGTTGTTTCTCATTGCCATGTAGTATTCCATGGTGTAGATAAACCACATCTTTTTGATTCATTCGTCTGATGATGGACACTCAGTCTCTTTCCATGTTTTAGCTATTGTGGAGAGTGCTGCTATGAACACTGGGGTACATGTGCTCCTATGCCTCAGCATTTCTGTATCCCTTGGGTAAATTGCTAGCAGTGCTATTGCTGGGTCATAGGGGAGTTCTATTGTTAGTTTCCTGAGGAACCTCCACGCTGTTTCCCAGAGGGGCTGTACCAGTTTACATTCCCACCAACAGTGCAGGAGGGTGCCCGTTTCTCCACATCCTCACCAGCATCTAGGGTTCTCTGATTTGCTCATTTTAGCCACTCTGACCAGCGTGAGGTGGTATCTCAGTGTGGTTTTGATTTGTATTTCCCTGATGAGGAGGGATGCTGAGCATCGTTTCATGTGTCTGTGGGCCATCTGGATGTCCTCTTTGGAGAAGTGTCTGTTCATATCTTCTGCCCATTTCTTCACTGGGTTGTTTGTGTTTCGGGCGTGTAGTTTGGTGAGTTCCTTAAAGATTCTGGATATTAATCCTTTATCTGATATGTCATTTGCAACTATCTTTTCCCATTCCATTGGTTGCCTATTAGTTTTGTGGGTTGTTTCCTTGGCTGTGCAGAAGCTTTTAACCTTGATGAGGTCCCAATCATTTATTTTTGCTCTTGATTCCCTTGCTTTTGGGGATGTGTCAAGCAAGAAGTTGCTGCGGTGGAGGTCAAGGAGGTTGTTTCCTGCTTTCTCCTCTAGAGTGTTGATAGTTTCCTGTCTTACATTCAGGTCCTATATCCATTTTGAGTTTATTTTTGTGCATGGTGTGAGAAAATGATCTAGTTTCATTCTTCTACATGTTGCTGTCCAATTCTCCCAAAACCATCTGTTAAAAAGGCTGTCTTTTTTCCATTGGATATTCTTTCCTCCTTTGTCAAAGATTCGTTGGCTGTATACTTTTGGGTCCACTTCTGAGTTCTCAATTCTGTTCCATTGGTCTATGGGTCTGTTTTTGTGCCAATACCATACTGTCTTGATGATGACAGCTTTGTAGTAGAGGCTAAAGTTTGGGATGGTGATCCCTCCCGTTTTGGTTTTATTTTTCAGGATTACTTTGGCTATTCGGGGTCTTTTGTGGTTCCATACAAATTTTTGGATAGTTTGTTCTAGTTTTGAGAAGTATGCTGGTGCAATTTTGATTGGAATTGCATTGAATGTGTAGAGTGCTTTAGGTAGTAATGACATCTTAACTATATTTATTCTTCCTATCCATGAGCATGGAATGTTTTTCCATTTCTTTGTGTCTTCTTCAATTTCCTTCATAAGTTTTCTATAGTTTTCATCATACAGATCTCTTGTATCCTTGGTTAGGTTTATTCCGAGGTATTTTATGGTTTTTTGTGCAATTGTGAATGGGATCAGTTTCTTGATTTCTCTTTCTGTTGCTTCATTATTGGTGTATAAAAATGCAACCGATTTCTGTACGTTGATTTTGTACCCTGCAACTTGGCTGAATTCTTGGATCAGTTCTAGTAGGCTTCTGGTGGAGTCTGTCGGGTTTTCTATGTAGAGTATCATGTCATCTGCGAAGAGTGAAAGTTTGACTTCCTCTTTGCCAATTCTGATGCCTTTGATTTCCTTTTGTTGTCTGATGGCTGATGCTAGGACTTCCAGCACTATGTTAAACAACAGTGGTGAGAGTGGACATCCCTGTCGTGTTCCTGATCTCAGGGGGAAAGCTCTCAGTTTTTCCCCGTTGAGGATGATGTTAGCTGAAGGCTTCTCATAGATGGCTTTGATGATGTTTAAGTAGGTTCCTTCTATCCCAACTTTCTCGAGAGTCTTTATTAAGAAGGGATGCTGTATTTTGTCAAATGCTTTTTCTGCATCTATTGACAGGATCATATGGTTTTTATCTTTTCTTTTATTGATATGATGGATCACATTGATTGATTTGCGAATGTTGAACCAGCCCTGTAACCCAGGAATGAATCCCACTTGATCTTGGTGGATGATTCTTTTGATATGCTGCTGGATTCGATTTGCAAGGATCTTGTTGAGAATTTTTGCATCCGTATTCATCAAGGATATTGGCCTATAGTTCTCTTTTTTTGTTGGATCTCTGTCTGGCTTGGGAATCAGAGTGATGCTGGCTTCATAAAATGAGTCCGGGAGTTTTCCTTCGACTTCTATTTTTTGGAATAGCTTGAGAAGAATTGGGATTAATTCTGTTTTAAATGTCTGGTAGAATTCCCCAGGGAAACCATCAGGTCCAGGGCTCTTATTTGTTGGGAGATTTTTGATCACTGATTCGATTTCTTCACTCGTTATGGGTCTGTTCAGGTTTTCTATTTCTTCCCGTGTGAATTTTGGTAGTGAGTGTGTGTTTAGGAATTTGTCCATTTCTTCTAAGTTGTCCAATTTGTTGGCATATAATTTTTCATAGTATTCCCTGATAATTGCTTGTATTTCTGAGGGGTTGGTTGTAATAAGTCCATTTTCATTCATAATTTTGTCTATTTGGGTGCTCTCTCTTTTCTTTTTGATAAGCCTGGCTAGAGGTTTGTCAATTTTGTTTACTTTTTCAAAAAACCAACTCTTGGTTTCATTGATCTGTTCAATTGTTTCTTTGGTCTCTATGTTGTTTATTTCTGCTCTAATTTTTACTATTTCTCTTCTTCTACTGGGTTTAGGGCGTTCTTGTTGCTCTGCCTCTAGCTCCTTTAGGTGAGCTGTTAGATTTTGGACTTGTGCTTTTTCTAATCTCTTGAAATAGGCCTGGAGAGCAATGTACTTTCCTCTTAGGACTGCCTTGGCCGCATCCCATAGATTTTGAATTGTTGTGTTTTCATTTTCATTTGTTTCCATATATTTTTTAATTTCCTCTCTAATTGCCTGATTGGCCCATTCATTCTTTAGAAGGGTGTTCTTTAACCTCCATGTTTTTGGCGGTTTTCCAGACTTCTTCCTGTAATTGATTTCAAGTTTCAAAGCATTGTGATCTGACAGTGTGCATGGTATGATCTCTATTCTTTT